TCCAGTGACATTGCAATTCTAGTAATTTAGACACTACTCAAGCCATGTATAAATTCAATGATAAAATGTCAAATGGCAACGGCTTACAAGGGCTCACTTGTTTAGCTGCCCCCGTTTTGGAACTTATTGGGTCTAAGAGCATGTTTACAATTTGGGCAATCACCTTGTAATCACAATCAAGAATGTCACGTACATCTACCTTTTGGCTAGCATGCACTGAGTTTAGACTAGTCCCTTATTCTCCCTGCCTGTGATTTAAGAACACTGGGTTTAACATACATAACGCCACAAAGTTCACTACACTCAGTACCTTTCACGTGGGCATATTAACTCTTTTCCGCGACGGAAAATAATCCAGGTAAGCGCTTCTATACTGCCCTTTTGAGTTTTGCTCCAGCATACCTAAGTTACGATCGGTACGCCCACAATCACATCCGTGTTCTTGCCAATGATCCTTTACTTTACAGATGCGGGTAGAATTAAACAGAGGATCCTTTGCTGTGTAAAATTTATAATCATCTTCGGTTCGTGCGGACCTGTTCATCGAAAAATTTAACTTCAGGGCATGGCAGAAATACTGCATCCTTTCCTTACTAAGCTTAGGCAGATTCTCCGAGGGAATAATGATCAATATTTCTTCCAAAAAGGATGCTTTCGTTCGAGTTTTTACTCTGACTATCCGCCATTTTGAAACTGGACTTTTTGAGAAGTCCGGGAAAATCCGGTAGTGCCAGGCCCCTGCGCGGTATGAAATTAGGCAATTGGTCTGCGGGTAGCCTGTGCCAGGGTCTCAGATAGTATAGTGCGGGCGTATTTTAAAAAACGAGCAAAGCGAAGATAAGACGCACGCGACTTGGGAAAGGGGGCGGTGGCGGCTAGAAAAATGGGAGAGAGAGCCTGTTAGCATTTCTTCAACGACCCTCTTCCGCCCATTTTTGTCACGTCTGGATTCGGCTGTCAAAACTGTTAACACCTCAGTTAGCTACAATCATTCTCAAGTTTTTCGCGCGAGCATTTCGCGTGACGCGAACTCCTTGTGCGAATGTGTGGAAATTTTAATATGTCTTCGAATTCGTTATCCTGTGATCGCACTCGATCATTCAAAGTGCTGCAGGTTTTATAGTAATAAAAGGGGGCGGTAAGTTTTTTCCTCTGTTAGGTAGGTTATGCTCTGGAAGGTTTGGCATTTTCACTGAGCAAATGTGATTTTACCCGCTTGTTTCACACTGAGAGGTCATGGCACACATATCGATTTACTGTGGCTTATGTTTCTGGTCGGCAGGATTTACCTTCTAATGAGAGAGCATTTTCTTTGACCTCTTTTGAACGTAAAGCTTTTTATTGCGGCTGAATAATGGTTTTAATTTTCTCCAAAGTGCCTTCTGGATCTGACTAACAAAGTGATTTTCTTTAGTCCGTGAATGTAGTGTTTTTCTGCAATGTTGTATCACGCTGGGCCAAGCTTGTTAGTTTTCTTTGCAGAATGTTAAATTATCACGGATAGTGATTTACAGATCCAGAATTATAAGAATGAAGTGCAGCTTAAAACATAAGCTACATTAACTAAGGAGAATTGCATTGTGACTCAGTAAACTCCAACTAAGTGTTTCTCTTATAATAGTGTGAGTCGTTTGACTGGAGCGCGTAGTTTCTCCCTTGGTATAAATATCTTTGGATATCTTTTTAATCTTTGGACTGTTTTGTTATTGCCACTTTGTAATCAGCCAGGACTCCGGACTACCGAAAACAATTTCGCACTTTCCTTCTCCCGCTTTCTTCTCGTCCTCCTTTCCCTCTTCACCGATGCCAATAGCTGCGGCCGAAAGTCCAAGCTTTTTAAATTCAGTGTTCCACTTGGTCTCGCATTATAGATATCAGCGTCGAAACGACTATTATCGTAGAGTTTTCTAAGGTTAGAGCAGCTTTAGCCAAGCGTGGGAATAACTGAAAGATTAAACTTTTGCCGAAACCGGTGGGCATAATAGTGAATCGAAAACATCTTTACCGCGAGCCAAGTCGCAGACACTCGTCCAAAGCACAAGACAACGTGGATTCATCAAGATCACACGCACGATTCGCGTTGGCCATCTTGGTGATGACAAACTGATGACCACGCTACTAGGTGATGATGTTAACTGTCACAATTGACCAATCAGAGGGTATATCAGGAGCTGATATACCGGAACAGGCCGTTAAAAAAATGCGTACAGGCTCCGCCGCCCTGTCTCTCCTCAGCCCCCGCGCGTTTTTCGCATTTCTTTTTACTGAACGACTTTTCACCACTATCTCGGAGCCTGGAACAGGCTACAATTGTTGACGCTATATTGTACCGGCAAAATAAACAAACTACTGGTCTTCATACTAAGTCCCACGCACAAAAAAAACTATTTTTAAATACCTATTCCTAAAATAAGGTCAACGGAACGAACCCTTCTTCCCCGGCTTCGTCTAAATTACCGATAAATGATAATCTTTCTTAAAAGAAACTGCACGGCTAATTTGTTAACTGCCTCAGGTGCCGTTCTTTACCAAGCGCTAAGTTAACGAACTATAGCAAAGATCGAATATTATCTTTGACCATGACAGTGAAATACGGTTTGATTGCATACACTATGGTCAAAACAAACCCGACTAGGTAAGTTTTGAGTATTTGGAAAACAGAAACAAGAAGTACGTAGCAAACGAAGACAATTACATCCTTTGAAAACCTTCTCTAGTACGTTTAAAGGGCAAGGTCGAAAGGATCGGGGTGGGCCTAAGTGGAGTAGAGTAGCTAACTGAAAGATACCGAATAACAAAGGGTAACAACTAAACGAGGAAGAAGCAAAACGGAGTTCCTGGTTTAGATGAGAAGAGTGACTGTATATTGTTGAAGATTTGAGTTATATCAGTATGACAAATCAGTTTAGCATTCTTCTGAATCAGTGGAGAAGAGTCAGTAAAATAGTTAGTGTTAGTGAAGTATAGGAGTGAGTGTCTGAAGCTCTTCCTTTCGTTTAGGGCGTCTTATGTCCTTTATATATAAAAAAGCATAATAGCGCATTAAGTTATCAGAACAGCATTCTTTTATTTCAGGTTCTTGGAACGGCATTCCAACGTATTGCTTTTCTGGTGTGGTCTCCTTGAAGAGGTTCAAATGTTGCCTCATACCTATCTTTGACTTTGGTAGGCCTTACTGACTTTGAAAGATGTTACGAAGTACACTCATCACAGCCTGTCGAATGTTTCGCATCTTCCAACAGTAGACCAAAGGATTGAGAGATGAATTAAGATATATCAGTGTCAAAAAATAATAAAACAGATGCTGTCGCAAGACAGACTCACCACAGATTATAGAAGCAGCTCTCACGCAAAAATATGGCACATAACATCCCAAAAACACGACATACACATAAAATATAGCAAGTGCAGTTTTTTTCAGCCTTGCGTCACTTGCCAGTTTTCCATTCTGTGCTACTTGCTGTACTTGCAGAGCGCTATTAATTTCATTTCTATGGCGTCGAACAACTGCGTGCATTTTGCAGCAAAGCGCTCCTGCAATAATTAGACAAACAGACCCAATAATTCCAATAACGGAAGAGAGAACTTTCTCTAAATTTCCAATCAATGTTAGTACGGAAAGAGCTGAACTGAGCACCCATATTGAGATCACTAAGGCAACAATTCGCTTGTATGTCACAACTTCCTGGTATCTGAGATGAAGATGAATGGCTAAGAATCTGTCAACAGTAAAAGCGAAAATGCCAAAAAATGAAGCAGGCAAAAATACATATCCAAGAAGTCGAAAACTACGGGAAATACATTGAACGCTGCATCCAAATAGCGTACTTTGATCAATTTTTATTACAAGAGTTGCTGTATAGAGAGGTTGAGCAAGCAAACCAACACCAAGATCAGAAACAGCCAGACTCAGGAGTAATGTTTTTAAAGTCTTTGACAACGACGCCGTTTTTCGGAGCGCTTGTATTGTTATGACATTCAACAAGATGGCAGTGAAAGACAAAAAAGCGTTGACGGCGCAGTTAGCGACAAGAGTCGTGGGCAAACCTTGAAAACCTTCAGCTTCCGTCATTCTGCACTCTTCCTTTGCTCGATGGCAACTGGACTAAAGAGAGAACTCAGTTTGATTCATGTTCGGCGACAGCCTTCTCGAAAACTTTCAGTTTCCATCATTACGTTTCTGTCTTTGTACGGAACTTTTGAATAGCCTGAATAGCTCTGCAACTGTTTTCTCTTTCAAGTGAGACTGACACTGGAAATGATTCGTTGCGGGAATAGTTGAACAGTCCTAAGAAGCTCTCAGTGTTCCACTATTCTTCCTCTGATGGCAACTGGATTGAGATAAAGCCAAGAATCCGTATCCATTTCAAACCAAGCAAGGCACTGGTAAAGACAATTAAAACCCAGACTGAACTCACTACAGCAACAACCCGCTTGTGAGTCACAAGTTCCTGTTCTCTGAGATGAAGATGGATTGCCAAGAATCTGTCAACGGTTGACGCTAAAACGCCAAAAAAGGAAGCAAAACCAAATAAAGAGCTCTGGATGTAAAATGTGTCAAATATTGTGTAAAAAGCACTATTTTAAGCGTTTTGTCGAGTCTATTTTCATTACAAGAACTGCAACATAAGTGGGTTGAACCAGAACGAATCAGAATCAGAGACAGCAAGACTCAGGAGCAATGTTATGATGTTCAACACGATGGTGGTTGAACATAAGTAGTTTTTCTGGTTGAATACAGCTTTTAAGGGTCTCGCAGGTGTTTATGAGGAAGTGCTTCTTCGCTTGACTAACGGAACAGACTCTCATGTTTCCCTACGCTTCCTGTTATTATTGAACAAGCTAACTCTCGTTGCTTTGTTTGGTTGCAAAGGTATAAAAACAAGTTTAGTTCACTGAAAGTATTTGCTGGACCGAAATATGAACTCAGTCGTTTGAAATAAATTAGACCTTTCCTCTAACAGAAAGCGGAAAATTTAAATGTGATGTGCTCATTATACAAAAATGTGAATATGTTTTCCTTTTAATAATAACGGTAGGTCCATTTTTATAAGTGTTGAAATAAGTCAGTCAAAAAGGAAAAGACAACATTATTTGAGAACGTTATTGACGTATTTGGAGTTCATTTACAGCGGTTCATCCCAGAGAAATAAGGCAGCTATTCGTTGTCGAAAACAGTGCAAAAAGGCTTATATAATTAAAACGAACGCTTTTGTCGCGATAGAGACGATTAACTCGCCTAGAGCTGCTTATTAGAATTTTTTTTTTTTTGGTTACAGGTCCTTAAAGGGAGACCTTTGAGCCTCTCTTTGGGTACCTGCGGACGTCGTTTTTGTCGCGCGTTTTTCATCAAATCGTCGGTTTTTCAACGAAATGGTCGCATATTGAGAATGATTTTGCGAGGTCGAGCAACCACGACAACGACAACTAAGGGAACGAGAAAATAATAAAAGCAGAAGTAATAAGTAAGACAAAACTTTGAACATGCAGCACGATTTTTGGCAGTTTTAACGTTAATTGTCAAACTTGATCGGAATGGCAATACGATCGTCTAATCGTCGAGCTTTGTAACTGTTGAATTTCGTCAGTCAAATCATGGATAATAGAAAGACCCAGTCTTTCTAGTAAAAGTACTTGAAACTGTTGACGCGACATTTAACTTGTTAGGCAGCTGGTTTGCATTGGATGGCAAATTCAAAGTCAAACAGACCTTAAGGAAAAAGGCTCCAAACCAACTCATTTGCTGCCCTCGGGCAAAAAATGCACTGATAGTTCATTAAAAGAAATGAATAATAATTTATATGGTCACGTGTCCTTCAACTAAAGGAGTGCGAGGAGATGAGGGAAAAATTTTCCTCTTCCACCCAAAGAAAGGTTTACAAGAAGTAACCAATCATCCGGTGTTGCGTGTTCAAGTGTAACCAGCTGCACATGATAGGTATGACCAACGAAACCTGCATTGGTTGAAAACTTGGGCTAAATTTAACTGTCACAATTGACCAATCAGAGGGTATATCAGGAGCTGATATACCGGAACAGGCCGTTAAAAAAATGCGTACAGGCTCCGCCGCCCTGTCTCTCCTCAGCCCCCGCGCGTTTTTCGCATTTCTTTTTACTGAACGACTTTTCACCACTATCTCGGAGCCTGGAACAGGCTACAATTGTTGACGCTATATTGTACCGGCAAAATAAACAAACTACTGGTCTTCATACTAAGTCCCACGCACAAAAAAAACTATTTTTAAATACCTATTCCTAAAATAAGGTCAACGGAACGAACCCTTCTTCCCCGGCTTCGTCTAAATTACCGATAAATGATAATCTTTCTTAAAAGAAACTGCACGGCTAATTTGTTAACTGCCTCAGGTGCCGTTCTTTACCAAGCGCTAAGTTAACGAACTATAGCAAAGATCGAATATTATCTTTGACCATGACAGTGAAATACGGTTTGATTGCATACACTATGGTCAAAACAAACCCGACTAGGTAAGTTTTGAGTATTTGGAAAACAGAAACAAGAAGTACGTAGCAAACGAAGACAATTACATCCTTTGAAAACCTTCTCTAGTACGTTTAAAGGGCAAGGTCGAAAGGATCGGGGTGGGCCTAAGTGGAGTAGAGTAGCTAACTGAAAGATACCGAATAACAAAGGGTAACAACTAAACGAGGAAGAAGCAAAACGGAGTTCCTGGTTTAGATGAGAAGAGTGACTGTATATTGTTGAAGATTTGAGTTATATCAGTATGACAAATCAGTTTAGCATTCTTCTGAATCAGTGGAGAAGAGTCAGTAAAATAGTTAGTGTTAGTGAAGTATAGGAGTGAGTGTCTGAAGCTCTTCCTTTCGTTTAGGGCGTCTTATGTCCTTTATATATAAAAAAGCATAATAGCGCATTAAGTTATCAGAACAGCATTCTTTTATTTCAGGTTCTTGGAACGGCATTCCAACGTATTGCTTTTCTGGTGTGGTCTCCTTGAAGAGGTTCAAATGTTGCCTCATACCTATCTTTGACTTTGGTAGGCCTTACTGACTTTGAAAGATGTTACGAAGTACACTCATCACAGCCTGTCGAATGTTTCGCATCTTCCAACAGTAGACCAAAGGATTGAGAGATGAATTAAGATATATCAGTGTCAAAAAATAATAAAACAGATGCTGTCGCAAGACAGACTCACCACAGATTATAGAAGCAGCTCTCACGCAAAAATATGGCACATAACATCCCAAAAACACGACATACACATAAAATATAGCAAGTGCAGTTTTTTTCAGCCTTGCGTCACTTGCCAGTTTTCCATTCTGTGCTACTTGCTGTACTTGCAGAGCGCTATTAATTTCATTTCTATGGCGTCGAACAACTGCGTGCATTTTGCAGCAAAGCGCTCCTGCAATAATTAGACAAACAGACCCAATAATTCCAATAACGGAAGAGAGAACTTTCTCTAAATTTCCAATCAATGTTAGTACGGAAAGAGCTGAACTGAGCACCCATATTGAGATCACTAAGGCAACAATTCGCTTGTATGTCACAACTTCCTGGTATCTGAGATGAAGATGAATGGCTAAGAATCTGTCAACAGTAAAAGCGAAAATGCCAAAAAATGAAGCAGGCAAAAATACATATCCAAGAAGTCGAAAACTACGGGAAATACATTGAACGCTGCATCCAAATAGCGTACTTTGATCAATTTTTATTACAAGAGTTGCTGTATAGAGAGGTTGAGCAAGCAAACCAACACCAAGATCAGAAACAGCCAGACTCAGGAGTAATGTTTTTAAAGTCTTTGACAACGACGCCGTTTTTCGGAGCGCTTGTATTGTTATGACATTCAACAAGATGGCAGTGAAAGACAAAAAAGCGTTGACGGCGCAGTTAGCGACAAGAGTCGTGGGCAAACCTTGAAAACCTTCAGCTTCCGTCATTCTGCACTCTTCCTTTGCTCGATGGCAACTGGACTAAAGAGAGAACTCAGTTTGATTCATGTTCGGCGACAGCCTTCTCGAAAACTTTCAGTTTCCATCATTACGTTTCTGTCTTTGTACGGAACTTTTGAATAGCCTGAATAGCTCTGCAACTGTTTTCTCTTTCAAGTGAGACTGACACTGGAAATGATTCGTTGCGGGAATAGTTGAACAGTCCTAAGAAGCTCTCAGTGTTCCACTATTCTTCCTCTGATGGCAACTGGATTGAGATAAAGCCAAGAATCCGTATCCATTTCAAACCAAGCAAGGCACTGGTAAAGACAATTAAAACCCAGACTGAACTCACTACAGCAACAACCCGCTTGTGAGTCACAAGTTCCTGTTCTCTGAGATGAAGATGGATTGCCAAGAATCTGTCAACGGTTGACGCTAAAACGCCAAAAAAGGAAGCAAAACCAAATAAAGAGCTCTGGA